TGACAAGCTTTGTGCAGCAAAAAGTTGCGTTTTCTAAAGATCTAAAAGTTATTTGAAGACACCTTTGCTGAGAAATTTGAAATAAAAAAAACTAGAGCAAAACAACTGTTTTTTTTAGAGACATCCTAACACACATCCCAACTCGCCGCTACAAGTGCAAGCCGACACCGTTACCATCACCGAACCAAACGCCGTAGCAGATGAACTGGGAAACTACTTCGCCAAACTATCAGGAATCGCGGAGTACAGCGAAAGTTTCCAACGACGAGTCGGTCCTTCGCTGTCCTCGGTGCCCACTTTCGGAATTCCCACAGACAACGACGACCTACCGATCAACCAACCATTCTCCTGGGAAGAATTCTCGTTCGCTCTTAGCCGGAGCAACGGAAACTCGGCTGGACCGGATGAAATCGGATACCCACTGCTGAAGCATCTACCGTTCGAAGGGAAAACACAATTGCTCGAACTCTACAACCAGCTATGGACCAACGAAGAATACCCGGACGAATGGAGGGAAAGTCTCGTGATCCCGATCCCCAAAACAAATATAGGGACCAAGGACGTCACAGGATTTCGCCCCATCGCGCTGACCTGCTGCATGGCCCAAAGTCTTGGAGCGGATGGTCAACAGAAGGCTCAAGCAATACCTGGAGTCTAAGGGACTGCTTGACCATCGACAGCATGCCTTCAGGCAAGGGTACGGTACCTCCACCTACTTCGCCACTCTTGGAGAAGTCCTGAAGGAGGCACAGGACCAAGGCCATCATACGGAGATCGTCTCGCTGGACATCTCCAAAGCATTCAACAGAACGTGGACACCAGCAGTAATGAAGAAGTTAGCCGAATGGGGACTAAAAGGACGCATCCTACACTTCGTCCGAAACTTTCTGACCGACCGATCTTTTCGGGTGTCGGTCGGAAACGTCCAATCTAGAAGGTTCAGCGAAGAAACCGGAGTACCACAGGGTTCGATCATCGCGGTCACCCTCTTCCTGGTGGCCATGAACGGGGTCTTCGACAAGCTACCCAGGAACATATATATTTTCGTCTACGCGGATGACGTCCTCATTGTAACGGTGGGCCCCACCCGGCAGAGGACGAAATTAAGGGCGCAAGCGGCAGTCTCCTCGGTGGTCAGATGGGCTGACTCCGTTGGGTTCCAGCTTTCCGCCGGCAAGAGCGTGCGCTGCCATATATGCACCACCCGGCATCGGAACAACGGACAGCCCATCATGATCAAACAGCAAGCGATACCGACCAAAAACACAATAAGGGTCCTGGGAGTGCTCCTCGATCGGAACCTATCCCTTGAGCCGCACTTCCAACAGGTGAAGAAGGACTGTTGTAGTCGATCCAACCTGATGAAGACCATCTCCCGCCCCCACCGATCCAACAACCGTGAAATCCGCTTCCGGGTAGCCCGAGCCATCATCGACAGTCGCCTATTGTACGGCGTAGAACTAACGTGCCTTGCCGCCGAGAAAGCCGTCCAAATCTTGGAACCGGTCTACAACGGATACGTAAGGACAGTCTCCGGTCTCCTGCCCTCCACCCCGGCCGACGCCGCGTGCGTGGAAGCCGGTATTCTGCCTTTTCGGCTCGTCTACACCGCAGCTACCGCTACCAAAGCCGCTGCCTTCCTCGCTAAAACGTCGGGAAACAGCAGGATCTTTCTCCTCGACGAGGCGAACCGACTCCTCCGCACGGTCGCCGACGTAGATCTCCCTCCAGTGGCCAGGGTCCACTGGCACGGAGACAAAAGTTGGCAATCACATCAGATCAGAATCGACAGCCGAATCAAGGACCGCTTCAGGGCAGGAGACAATACACTGGCTTTGCGCCGGACAGTCGTTGAAACTCTCGGGGCGCACTATCAAGATCACGAAATCAGGTACACTGATGGCTCGCTCTCCAGCAGCGGAGTGGGAATGGGGGTTTCAGGAGATAGTTTGGTCGTCAGCAATTCACTTCCGGCCCAGTGCTCGGTGTTCCGCTGAGGCAGCGGCCGTCTTTCAAGCAACCTCCCTTCCGGCCAATCGGCCGATCCTCATCGTTACCGACTCACAAAGCGCAATAATGGCCCTAACCGATGAAGCACCAAAGCATCCGTGGATACAAGGGACGGTAACGCATGCGCCGCCCAACACCGTATACATGTGGGTACCCGGGCACTGTGGCATCCAGGGGAACGTGATCGCCGACCACCTCGCCGGCTCAGGCCCCATCGGACCCAGGTTCTCTGACAATGTTCCGTTCCAGGACATCAAAAAATGGATCAAGCGGACGGTTCGGAGAGCGTGGGACAACGAGTGGAGGAACAATCGAACTCACCAACTACGAAAAATCAAGGCGACCACCGATCCCTGGAAGGATCGACCGAGCCTCAAGGAGCAGCAAGTGGTGTCCAGGCTGCGCACCGGGCATAGCAGGGCCTCCCATAATTTCGGAGGAACACCGTTCCGGAGAACCTGCGAAACCTGCGGAGTGCCAGCCTCCGTAGAACACATCCTCATCAACTGTGTGGAGCTCGAGGACCTTCGGGTTGCCTTCGGTCTGGAGGGAACCAGCATACAAAGTCTGCTTGGCGACGAGTCCCCGGCAGCAGACGCCCTCATCGCCTTCCTGAAGGAGGCGAATCTTTTTTACAACATTTGAGTGTTTTCTGTTTGTGCTTTTGAATTCGTTGGCCCTTTTGGTAGTGTTTTACAATATTTTATATAATTAAGCTAAATGCCCACTTGCCAAGATTGGGATCCTCCTTTTGAGGTCCCAATTCTTTTTTGTAATTTTTAAAAGAGATGAACTAGCCTTAGGCTAAAAATCTCTCTAATAAAGAAAAAAAAAAAAAAAAACCTAACTCAATTCAAGAAAAAAGTTTTTTTAAACTTGGTTGCTGGAAATTAGCTCAGCTGTAACTTTGCCGAAGAAAGTATACCGTAATTTCTTCAAACAAAAAAGTTAGATTTTTTATTTTAATGATAATAAGAACCACCCTAGAATCACCATTGTCATAAAAATGAGGGCCTAAATATAAGGAACAACTTTGTAGAAGAGACTTTTAGTGTAAAGTTTCAATTTCAGGCTCGAAACATATCATTCACCTAAATTTACATTCTAGACCACTGTGCACTGTTTTAAGTCATCTAAGGTTTTGCAAAAAAAAAATGTCTTAACCTGTTCGAGCCTCTAGTTAACGAGGGGTCCATACTGGGTTCAACATACTGTAGAAGATTTTTGTATTTTAAGGTCCAATTTTCTATTTCAGTTTTTTTTTAAAAAGCTCGCATCATTCTATTCATTTTGCTATTATACACAAAATTTTGCGAGCTTTTTGCAATCTGAAATAATGCGTCGAAAAAAACTGCTTTTTTTCGAAAATGCACCAAAGTAAATTGAACCTTTTAATAACTAGTGCTAAAAACGAATGAAATTATTTTTAAGAACCTTGAACATATTATCTTACATGGCGAGCAATGAAAATACAGTCTACTATCCGTTACGCAATATTCAAGGGATTATCGACTTAAGGAGCTATTGAGCTGCAGAGCATCAGAAAATAATCAAAACTTCTAAATTTCCTCATGCTAGTCAATAATTCGATTATCTAGTTGGCTGTGACACTTTGATATGCAATTAGAGATAATATTAATAGTTTATTCGTTATTCTGGCAAGTACAATACATTTTTTATTTTTTAACTGAAAATTCACCTTAGGAATAAATCCTTAGTAGATTAATTTTGAATCACCATGATCAATTCTAATGCTACGACTAATACTAAAATTATCGAAAATAATAATATCAAATCTATTAAGGGAGGTGAAAAAAGTGAATCAAAACCCATCGAGTAAAGGAGGCATCGAGTTGGGGATATATCGAGTTAGGTAGCGAGTGATGGTTGAAAAATTGAAGGGACTTTGTAAATCATCGAGTTATGGAAAATATCGAGTAAGGGAGAAAATCTTAAACGAATCAGAAAACATTTTTTTCGCTAATTTTTAATGTTGTCCAATAATTTAACAACAGTAGGCTGTGGCATTTTGACGTCTCTAATTGAGTTGTTTATTTTGATACGGTGAACAACTTTGCTCAAGGCGTCAAGTCTTTAAAATGCCAGAGTGAAAAGATTATTTTGATGCCATCTATGCGGATGGGCTCTGAATTATCTGTTTCTGTAAATAGATTATTAATTTATTAATTAATTATTAAAATTGATTGGATATCTGGCCCACTGTGTAATGCTTTGTGACCGGTGTCTTGGGTGATCTCCGATAGTAGATCATCGCATCAAATTACCTGTCTAACTAACGTTCAAATATTGACTCGCTCGAATGTTGAATTTATTTTATGAAAGCAAAAACATACCCTCCGAAGAAAGTGTGCCAACAAACTATCTTCGATTTAACCATATTCGCAAAAAAAAAGATCATTAATTTTATTAGAATCGCTTTATAAAATTGGTCGTTCATCATTATGCGCATGCTAAACTCGAAGGAAGATTTTTTTTCGCATAATTTTTTTTTATCAAGAACAAGTAACAAGAAGATCAACTTTTCACGGAATAGAGCTGTCCACCGCATGAGCGAATGGAAAGTTTTAATTCTATTGTAGATGTTATTCCTAATCAATTTCAATAAATAGTCATAAAACGAACCAAATTGATGCAATAATCGCTTGAATATCCAAATAGTCAGCTATAAACAACATGCTAAAGATGGGTAATTAACGTTAATGTCGTTGGTGATGCAGCGCTGAAAATCACCGACAATTCTGCCGTCTGGATTGACCCTATTCAAAACTGGATTTTGATTCATTTTCTTGTGTCTTCTTCCTTCGGTTCTATACACAGGCGCAAAATGTCCCACAGATTCACGGCCGATCGGTTGCTGAAGAAGTGGCCGTCCATCGAAGAGATGTGTGGAGCAGCAGTGGAAGAAGAGGTGTGGCTCGTCACCCCAGAGTAGTAAAACGGAATTTTAACAGATATATAAATACGCGTATCCAGTTCTAGCAGGGTATCATTGTCAAGCCTAAGTTCTCGACGTATATATCGCTAAAGGAAACCTCTTGTTGAGTTTTGTCAACATGAAATCTTTCGTGTGTGCTGCCGCTTTGGCATCGATGCTGGCCGTGGCCAGTTGTGCCCCTTATGGTAATTGAGTGTAGTTATTGGATTTGATTTTGCAAATCCACTGATTTTTTTTTTGTGAAATTACAGTGATCTTCTTGGAGGAGGCTCCAGTTCGTGTGGCCCGGTCGGCCAATGGTGGATTTGGATTTGGAAGTTCGGGAAGCGCTGCTAACGCTGCAGCTCAGTCCTTCAACCAGGGTGGGGGATTCCCAGGATTCGGTGGACAATTCGGAGGTGTCTCGGGATCGGCTGCCAATGCTGGATCTCAATCTTTCACCCAGGGTGGTGGCTTCCCAGGTTTCGGAGGTGGCCTGAGCGGTTCAGCCGCCAATGCTGGAACCCAGTCGTTTAATCAGGGAGGCCACGGTGGTGGTTTGTCTGGTAGCGCTGCCAACGCTGGTGCTCAATCGTTCACCCAAGGTGGTGGCTTCGGTGGATTCGGAGGATCTCAGCCGTTCCATCAGGGAGGATTCGGAGGTGGTCTGAGCGGATCGGCTTCCAATGCTGGAACCCAATCATTCACTCAGGGAGGACATGGTGGTGGTCTGAGCGGATCGGCTGCCAATGCTGGAACCCAGTCGTTCACTCAGGGAGGACATGGTGGTGGTCTGAGCGGATCGGCTGCCAATGCTGGAACCCAGTCGTTCACTCAGGGTGGACATGGTGGTGGTCTGAGCGGATCGGCTGCCAATGCTGCCGCTCAATCCTTCACTCAGGGAGGTGGTCATCAGATCGGTGTTCACTAAATAGGATATCCTTAAAGTCACAGGAAGGTGGAAATGATGACTAATTACACGTTCACGGTCAATGATTATTGGAACACGCTTGAGATTGACGCCACGGGCATACTAATTCACGTTCGGATTGAACCGTTACGGGCAAAAAAAAAATGAGCCGCCGTTGAAAATTATGCAAATTGGACCGATTGTGGAATACAAACAAAGCTATTTGTTTCGGGTTCGGCGGATTGTGATGATCGATGTAGGCAATAAAATTTATGTTAATTTGAAAATACTCATGTCACACCAATCTGTAGCTTTTTATTTGTATGACGATTGTTTTATGATGAAAGAACGTTGCAGTGACACGGGACAGGGTTCGTCGCTTTGGTTTATATTTGAATCTTAATTTAGATGCCGGAATTTCGGCGCTTACACGTGCGCTGCTGAAGCCTCTCGATGACGACAATACGCGTGATTTATTTTAATATGGTAAAATTGGAGCAATTTTCAACCAGTCTTTTAAAAACTTTCATTGCTTAAATACTCTTTTAAAAGTTATGAGTTCAGAAACCATATCATCCTTTAACTGATAATCTACAATTCCGGTATAAACAAATACGGATACACCGTAATATGGGGCATTCCTTAGCTCAGTCTGTAAAGGTGCAGCTACAAAGCAAGACCAACAGGCTGATTTTGATTCCCGATCCGGTCTAGGAATTTTTCGGGTTGTAAAATTTGTCGACTTCCCTGGGCATAGAGTTTGATTACACTTGCCACAGAATTATACTAATGCGAAAATAGTACAGGCATCATATTCTTCTTCTTCTTCGCATTTCAAGCTTATTGCATATCGCATATTAGCTTATTGCGTGCTCTCAACTTAGTGTTCTAGATGCACTTCCATTAATTGATAGCTTTCGATGCCTGTACCATTTTTGCATTGGTATAATTGTGTGGCAAGTCCAATCACACTTCTATGCCCAGGGAAGTCGAGAAATTTTCCAACCCGAAAAATTCCTAGACCGGACCGGGAATCGAACCCAGCCACCTCCAGCATGGTCTTGCTTTGTAGCTGTGCCTTTACCGACTGAGCTATGAGCTGAGGCATCAAAAGCTCTCAATTAATAACTGTGGAAGTGCAGTTAGAATACTAAGTTGACAGCACGCAATTCGCTAATATGCGATAAGCAATAAGCTTGAAATGTGAAGAAGACGAAGAATAAGAAGACGTAAGATAAAAAAATACAGGAAATTTACGGTGTGTGTCATCAAAACTGAAGGACTAAAACAAATTCTAGACTATGATTCAAAATTTAAAAAAATATTTTAATTTATTTAAAAAAAAAATAGTTTAACTTAACACTTTTACACATAATGGTATTTCTTGAAAAAAATCACAAAAAATCAGTAAAATCAAATCTCAGAAAATAGAAACAATCGCTTCTTGGGATGCGAGCTGCGATGCACATATCGACGTCTCAGGTTATCATGACTGTTGACCTTTGATTTTTTCATGCTTACTGTATCGAGATCCGTATACATGTAAAAAATATTCAAAATATGTCCACCACATACAAAAAGAAAATTTTGAATGATTTCGGTTAGTATATAAACCCCACATGGTACCTGGGATTTTTGTCTATAATGTAAATTGTATTACACTTATGACTTAGATTATATGAGCTATGTATCAATGGAGACGCATGGTAGTCTAGTCGCATAGGAGTATTGAGCGAAATCCCAAAACTTGATAACATAAAAAAATATTACTCAAACACGAAAAAAAAAACCGCTGATTGTTTTAATATGTTGTGTAAAAAAGCCTAAATTTTCAAGGAAAAATATTTAAAACATACTGCGCCCTCTGTCTACAAACCATGCAAACCATAAACAATAAATACAATCAATGTTCGTCAACACAAAATCCCAATTTTATAATATCATTATATTTTTTCTCAAAGTCAATCGATATTTCCGACCTTCCGTAGCATGGAAATGGTCACCCTAATGACAAAATAAAAATACGGGTCTCATATTTTGCGATAAGGAATAAAACTACATTTTTTTCACGAAATTCTAAGAACCACTATGGAATGGCTGAATATGTATCAAGGGGTGGGCACTAAACTGGCCCACAAAAATAAAAGTTCTAATTTTCCACGTGCGAACCTCTAGATTTGTGCCTTTAGGTGAGAAAAATTTTCTCTGAAAGTTTCAGCTCATCAGATGAGCTGGCGCTTTTAGTTTGAATTTTGTATGAAGAATTTGGATGAAATACACTCTTTTGATCATACAAAAGTTTCCATATTCTCGATTTGATTCAGATTTTCAAAACTTATAGTTCAGTTAATGAGTAACAATTTTGCTGAAGATTTCATTATGGATCCAGTTAGTTTTATTGAGATATTCGTTTTTGAATGTATATGAGCATTTTGTATATGACCAAAATCCCATTATCCCATTAAACCAAAAGCGCCAGCCCGTGTAACGTCAAAAAGAGCTGAAACGTTCAAATAGTGGTTATCACAACAAAAGGCACGAGTCTCTATGTTGGCCTGTGGAAAATATGAATTTTAATTTTTAAAGGTAATCTAGTTGATACGTTGCATAAGTTGCTTGTATTTTGTTGCAATATACGAGAGAATGCAAATAATTGATTAATATCTACATAATACTAAGGGATGATGTAAAAGTATCATATTCTTTTCATCACCGCTGGCCATTGGCCAGCGGGGCAAACGACTGGGTAATGCGTACCACCAGTACCGCGAGTACTTGAAGGATAAAATAGACCCCATTAGTGGTCCATTAGCCTCTTACCCAGTAACTCCTATCCCTACCTCCTCGTGGTGTCTCCTGGGATATGAGCAACCTTAGCGAAGATCGGGTAACCAACCCCGGTGGGAGCTTTGGTCATATGCTGACAGGGAAGGGGGCCCCTAGCGGGTTCGGCCTACACGGCCTGAGCGTCTGTTCACCATGGAGGTGCGGCTCAAACAGCGTCTGACTGGCATCCAGCGGCTGAATAAGAAATGCTGTATTGTGTCAGCTAAATCTAAGATGGCAGCCCCATCTACACAATAACTGAGCGTCTGTCCACCATGGAGGTGCGGCTCAAACAGCGTCTGCCTGGCATCCAGTGGCTAAAACAAGAAATGCTTATCCCCGAAAGCTATACCCAAGATGGCAGCCCCATCACGGCGGATAGGAGACCTTAGGCTAACTACCTACTGTCCCCGAAACTTTACAACTGTTACAGAAACCAATAGAGAAAGATCACGGACTGATATTACGGCAACGACTTTTAGCGCAAAACAACGGACAAGAATTGGAACATGGAATGTACTAACGCTAGCCCAACAGGGGAAGCTGGCACAACTCGCCAGCGAGGCTCGACGCATGAAGCTCGAAATCCTGGGACTAAGCGAAGTCCGTTGGCCAAACTTTGGAGAACACAAGCTGCCGTCGGGACAGGTACTACTCTATTCTGGTATTCGAGGTGAAAACGCTCCCCGCCACCGTGGAGTTGGTTTCCTGCTTAGCGCCCAAGCAAATGCGGCGCTCATCAAGTGGGAACCTATCAATGAGAGGATAATCGTTGCCAGATTCAGAACGCGGGTTCGTAACCTAACCATAATCCAATGTTATGCGCCAACCGATGCTGCCGAGTTACAGGACAAAGAGAACTTTTACAGTCAACTGAATGCAGTCGTGGATAAAATTCCGAGAGGTGACATCAAGATCTACATCGGCGACTTCAATGCGAAGATCGGCTCCGACAACACGGATTATGAGCGTGTCATGGGGCACCATGGTCTTGGCGAAATGAGCGAAAACGGTGAGCTGTTGGCAGAGTTTTGTGGCAATAACGACATGGTGATCGGGGGTTCGCTCTTCCCCCATCGACCAGTGCACAAAGTCACGTGGGTTTCCCGTGATGGACATACCGAAAATCAAATCGACCACATCTGCATCAGCCGAAAATGGAGAAGGAGCCTTCTTGACGTTCGGAACAAACGCAGTGCCGACATCGCGTCTGACCACCATCTCCTCGTTGGAGAGATCCGCCTTCGTATCGCGCGGGTCCAGCGGCGGGAGGTACGGCTCGGACGGCGATTCAACACACGCCGATTGGAAGACCCAGCAGTAAAAAGGTCATTCGTCGAGGAACTGGAGACCAGAGCTGCGGATATTCCTGATGGTGGCAGCGTAGAAGAGCAATGGACGGCGATCAAGGATGCCTTTACTGAAACGAGTGAAAACAACCTGGGCGAGCTGCGCGCTCAGAGAAAGGAGTGGATCACGGATGACACCTGGAGGAAGATAGAGGAGCGGAGAAATGCAAAAGCCGCGATAGAGCGGGCGAGAACCAGAGGAGCGAAGAACCAGGCCCGCCAACTGTATTCGGCTCTCGAGAAGGAAGTGAAGCGCTCGTGTAGGCGGGATAAGCGAGCGTGGGTGGACTCCCTGGCCGATGAAGGTGAGAAAGCCGCAGCAACAGGCGATATCCGTCTCCTCTACGATATCTCACGACGCCTGAGTGGAGCAAGGATGAATCCTAGGATGCCAGTGAAGGACGCGACTGGTCAGTTGCTCACCGACCCCACTGATCAGCTGAAACGCTGGTTTGAACACTTCGAACAGCTTCTACAAGTTTCGTCGGTCAACCAGCCATCAACATCTCGGCATGAACCGCCAAGAGTGCGACGCATCACTCGCGTCAATTCTGAGGCGCCATCCCTACCGGAGATCGAAGCTGCTATCCGAACCATGAAATCCAACAAGGCTCCCGGGGTCGATCGCATATCAGCAGAGATGCTCAAAGCTGACCCCATGCTATCTGCACAAATGTTGCATCAACTATTCTGCAATATCTGGGACACCGCGACTTTTCCGGCTGACTGGATGCAGGGCGTCTTAGTGAAGGTCCCAAAGAAGGGGGACCCAACTGTATGCGATAACTGGCGTGGCATTATGTTACTGTGTTGTGTTCTCAAAGTTCTATGCAAAGTTATCCTCAACCGGATACAGGAGAAGATCGACGCGACTCTCCGACGGCAGCAGGCGGGATTCCGTGCTGGAAGATCCTGTGTGGACCATATTGTCTCACTCCGCATAATCTT